CCGCGCTCTGCTGCTGCAGCAGGCTCTGGCTGTAGAGGGTGGGCAGCGCGGCGGCGGCGTACTGCTGGATTCCTGAGTAGGCCTGGGTCAGCGCGTCCATCGTGCCGGCCGTGCCGTTCGTCAAGCCTGTTGCGCCGAGTCCTCCGTTCAGGGCCGCCATACCTGAGAGCATTTGAGCAACTTTACAAAAAACCCAACAATAGAGAAAAGAAATTGCACTTGTTCATTAGTGCTTTCCGAAAGTCGTTGGTATTACATGACACTGATGACGACAGCAGTGCATGCAGCTCGGCACTTCACCAAAATGGGACCGAAAACAAAGAAACACGACTTTGGCGTCAGGTTCACTTTAGCACAAGGGTTGCACAGTCAAACGGACTCGCATGCAGCCTGCTACTGGCAAGTACTACAGCTCGGTGCTCCTCAAAGTCTTGCTGCTCATCCTCCTCAACATCCATGCTTTTCCAGAAGGTACCTGAAGCTGGGAGAGCAGGACCTATTTGACCTGTACCCTTGCAACCTGGCCACCGGAAAAAAAAGGTCTGTGAGGAAACCCACTCTTTCTGACCAGGGTCTTCAGCAACAGGCCATGGCCACACCATATCAGAAGTGTTTTGCTTATACACAGCAGAGAGCCCTGACTAACGGCATCTTGAAACAACCCTCTGTAAAATTATGGGCTTCATCCCTTAGGTTTGTGGTAGGAAGATGGACTGCGATGCCCTGAGCTTCCACCCTCCTCCTCCAGTTCCTCCAGAGGAGATGAGCAGCAGCACATTTAGAGTGAATAAAAGGGCTTCATCTAGACTAGACATCTTTCATGAAGATACAAAACCATTTGGTTCTAGCGATGTCTTTCTTCTCACTGCAAGTAGAGCAACTTCACTTTTTTTCCCCTTAAAGTGATTCTACATCCTGATAAATAACAGATTAATATAGCTGGGATGACTGCCAAAGAGGAAATTTCAGACTGGATTGCTAGTGATGCTGACAATGGCATCGCTCATCTGTGCCAACAGTGTGGTCTGAAAAGGAAGTTTTACTACTCTGACTTGATGTTGGACAAGCTCCTGGCCTACAGCCTCTCTCCATTGCTTCTAGTCCTCATCGTGGCTCCTAAACGAACCACGCTGAAGTTAACAGGGTTAACATTGATTTTTTTTTTTTTAGCAATTCCAGACAAAGAGAATTCTCTGTTAGAACTACAGTCTCTTTGGCAGCTGAAGAGGTGTCAGAGTTCAGAGCCCTGCTCCCACACCTCAGACCTGTGTCAATGGGAGTAATATTTTTTTTGACGGAGAGTTAGGCTATGTTTTCTGCACAACTAGCTAACCTGTGCTAAATTAGCAAACAACTAAAAAAAGGGCTTAACCAAGCCCCTTGAGTTACAGTAGGTCAGTCATCAGAAAAATGGGGCACCCAGAACTACCAGTCATCATTTCTCAGACATTGACTGTGCAGCGGCAGGTTGGCAAAATGATGGGTGAGGAGGTGAACTGTGGAGCCCTATTAAGACCTAAAAGCCAGGAACATTAAGGAGAAATAGAGGGCTTAATTTCAGAGCAATAATAAGGCGTGATATATAAATTGGAGAAAAGTGATGAAATTAAGCAGAGGACACTTTATAGTCAATTAGGAATGAAATCTATTAGATTGGGAAACAATCTTCAAGGCAAGTCACAAAAACCTGATCACATCAGTAATTTAGAGATAGACAGAATACTGCAGGGAGTTATTCCACACTGACAGAGGAGGAGAAAGATGCTGACCTACTAGTTTTCTTCCATCTCTTATGTAGATTCAAAAAGTGTATTCCTATGAGTCTCCCATAATCAGGACAATTGCTCAAGTGGCACCTTTCTGGCTCCACCAGAGTCTGTGCCAATTAAGAGAACTGTACTGCATAAATTATACCTTTTGATATTACTATAATTTGTGTGACTAAACACTTGACAGAGCTGTGATATTCTTAGCCTTTCCTTAATAAAATGTCTCGCACTTTGAAGATTTCTCTTCCCCCTCACCCCACTTCAGAAGATTGCTGTGTCCTGATAGGAGGTGCTGGCTGCCACCACTTTGAGAAAAACTCTCTGTCACAGCACAAGAGAGCCAGACATTTGTTGTGTAATGGTTCCAGTTATAAACCAAAAGCGTGCAAACCAAGATAGCTTGTGAAGCATTTTATAGCTAAAAGATGGGACATTATTATTGTTGTTGTTGGTTTTATTGTCGTTTTTATTCTATCTCTCTATCTATACACACACACTTCTATATCCTGAGCCTGGCCTTAACCTGCTCTGATGTTTTTGTGCTTAGTTTTGTGCCATTGCTTGCATAGGTGTACACACAGCACTGGTTAAAGTAAAGGCTCCTGATAAAGCAGCTTGTATCTCTCATTTTATTACAGTGTTGAAATAACTTGATAATAGAGGAAGCATTAGGATAACATGTTATCTTTCGTGAGTCATCAGCCTATTAGATAAACATGCTTTGTGTTGCAGTGGGCAGCATCCCCCCCTTCTTTCACCCAGAATCAATAGCTCCTTCCCACGAAATGATTTCAGATTAGCAAACAGCCAGACAGCCCCAGCTCACCTCACTGCTTCTGGGAAGGGCACGGCTACTGCTGCCACAGTGCCCTGCCTAAACACACTTCCCTCCTGAGCAAATCGGGTCTGTGGAAAGCTCTCAGCACTTTTTCTGTTCTCCCTTTTTACGAAAATGTACAAGGCCCATCTGCAGTTACACATCTCTGCCATCTCTTTATTACCTCCACCAATGTACCTCAGTCTGATATTGAACTCTGCTCCCTTCCTCACTTCTGTGAAATAACCTTTTGGAGTCTTTCACCTATGGCCTTCTATGTTTTTGAGTTACTCTACATAATACAGAAGTGACAATGCTTGGTAAGTCCAAAGGTCTCTCCAAGTGCTTTCCAAGCACCTTCAAATCTATCATAGTTTTATCTCCATTTTACAGATGTAAATATGGGGGCAGAAAGGCTAAATGACTGCCCTGGGTTCACACACAAATGCTGTGCAACAGCTGTCCAGTACTCTGAATCTATGCTCTTCCCTCTTAATTGTAAAGAATCTCTTCCTCCCTTTCTATTAATTTTCCCTCATTATTCATAATTCTTTTTGTTAGTTACTGCATTTACATTTATGTGTCCAAAGGAGACAATCTATTGCTTTGTCATTTAAGATTTTTGATGCTTCAAGCACAGATGAACAAAGGCTGGGTGAATCCTAACATATATGTACAACTGTTGTCAAGCCATTGGAGACAGTTAAACTTACCATACTCCACTTCCTTTAATTTTTAAGGCCTCCAGACATCTTTCTACAATGCTTCTCTCTACAGCGAGACCACTGCCAGTCTCCACAGCCCAGCTTCTTTTCCATGGGCCCACCCAGGATCCAAAAAACAGATAACTAAGTCTCCTACTGAGCTCAGCCTGGAAGACACTTTCCTTGTGATTCTCTCATACAGAGCAGGATGTGGCTTCAGCAGAAAAGTACCTCTTCCAACACCTTTGTGTAAATCCATACCCAAGCCTAATGCCACCTTCTGATTAATTTTTGGGTTAAGCTGCACTTGACTTATGCTTTGGATCACTCTTGTTAATTCCACAATTAGAAGCATGTCACTCAGCTCCAATTTCTCTGCATAATTAGTTTAGGAACCTCCATGACCAACGAATGTATTTTTTTTCTGGAGTGCTTATGACCATGGCATAGTGTGAAACATCAGACTCATTGAGCGTGAGATTTCTGGAAGGCAAAATCCAAGGCAGGTTTGAATGTGAATGACTGGGTCAGACATGGTCTGTAGGAGAAGCACTGGCTCATCCTTAATATACACAGGGGACGTTGTAATATGAGCAATGCGTTGCTATGATTACCTGAAATCGATAATCAGTGTCACCCTTCTGAGAAACAGTGTCACAACACTGGGTTGTGTTGTGGGGAAGCAGTTTCTCCTCTTTAGATCTCTCTCATATATGTATATACAGAGACAGACATATCCACATACATTTTGTAGGTGCTATACACATAAAGACATTCTAGGCACGTACACTCTGTGTCCATAAAAACATCCATGAAGAAGATTTGGGACTGAAGCTACTTTTGGTACAAGCCTGTGGAAGTAATGGTGGCTTAAAACAAGTTGAAATTTGGTACTAGGTTGTGAATATGTCATTAATACTTCAAATTACACATACAGGTAAGTTTGCATACACACCATCTCAAAACACTTGCTAAGAAAACAAACTCTTTGCTTGTAGCCTAGCAAGCAGTGTTAAAAGGAGTGCAGCAGAGAGGTTCCCACACAAAGTCAAGAGCTCATAGGTGACTCATTCTTGCTTGGTCTTGACGAAGGGGACTGGAGTGCTCCAGTGGCTGGGTTCTTAGTACTTGTGGGAGGGGAGGAGTGGGATGCCATACTCTGCTCTTGATAGTCTCACTTCTTATAAACCAAGTAAAGTACAATGACTGTTTATCAGGAAAGGACATCTAATGATTTCTAACTTATGACAGGGTAGCTCTCTTACGATGAGAGCTCATGAGATGAGGTAAGTTAGCTTTTTGTGCATGCCATTTTCAGTGGCTTGCTTTAATACTAATGTAAAAATGAGAAAAGAAACTAACGTAGGCCATTTGGGGACCCAATACTTACTTAAGTTCTTAAGTTGTTCTCAAGTCACATTTACTATGAGGTTGTGTGAAATACGCATGTCCTTGCCAGAAGCAAGACGTGTTTTGCACAAGACCCCATGCAACCACTCAACATTGCTACATGGACATCCATTAGCTCCCTTCCTTCCCAGCTCCCAACAATGACAACCAGAGATCACAAAACAAAAAGATTTGCTGAGCAGCCAAATAACAGTGACAAAGAGGACATCATGCAGAGAGAGCATCAGAGAGAGCAAGAGATACTGAGGAGGACACCCATTCCTGAGGGTCATGGACTGGCAATGACCAAATAGATTCCTTGCATTGCAAAAGGAAATGCAAGGAGCAATAGCAGATAAAAAAAAGGGAGGGGGAAAATGCAGCTAGACCAGTCTCTTCAACTGCAGGCAAAGGTGAAGTCATCATAGCAGAAACAACAGCAATAAAAATTGTTCCTCTTTGGGAAAATCTTGAGCAAGGCTAAGAACAAGGAAGAATGTTGTAACAGCTACTGGCATCTACTTAGCTGGAGATGCCAGGGTTTGTTTATGATGTCCTAGGACAGATGTGCATGCTCTGGTATTACAGGTGACTGACTGCATCATTCTCTTATGCTCGCCAATTAAAAGCCAAAGACTTGCCTTCATTTTTAAAGTACGTTGCTCTCAAGTCAATTTGATAATTTCTACAGACATTTTAAAAGGACTGCCTCTGTGGCAAACATCTTTCTCATCACTACATTTCTGAGAGAGGTTTTTGTACACTGGGGTCATAATACCTGTTGTCAGACTCCCTAAATGAAAAAGGAGCCTCTCTTACAACCTAGATAACCCAAAATCCTGGTGCCATTTCTTTTACATTCCACACACCCTGCAAGAAAAGGAGTCTTTGTGCAGGGACCCAAGGGACTTCACTTTGCAGAGTAAACTATGTGAAACTAAAAGTCTCCAAAAATGCATAGGTACCATGAATGGAACTAGATCAACTTGACCCCCTTGTTTTGCACATAAATATAATAATATAATCGCTTTACAATTGATAGATTTTGTGTCGTGATTACTGGGGAAGGCTGTCCACCACAGCAATAAATACTCACTGTTTACGGTACCTGCTAGTGCATTAATATTGTTCAGTCCAACAGTGGCTCCAGCCAATCCTTGGAGAGTACCCAGAGAAGTCAAAGAATTCATGGCCGCACCAGCTGTGGAATTAGCAGTTGATGCAGCCACTGAAAGGAAAAAAAAGAAAAGGAAAAGTTAAGGTCAGATTTTGCTTATTTTAGTTGATCACAAACCATCTTACAATAATGCTGGGCACAACGACAAGGCTACTTGTGAGAAGAAGAAAAAAAAAGACAATGACACCAACAGACCAACCTTGTTCAAGGCAGTAATGTATGACTGCCCATGGACAGTGTTGATGAGCCTTGAATTGCAAAGACTGGATCACAAAATGCAGCATCGTTCTTTTATTTATTCATAGTAATTTCATCTTAAAACAGCTTTCTGTTCTGGGCCCCAAGTGATCTAAGAAAAATTTTAATTATTCTAAGTGAGACATTATGCCATTATGGCCCTCCTCTAGGACACTGAACTTCATTTAAAGCCTTTGAGTTTACGAAAAGAATGATCAACCAAATACAAAATGTAACTATTATTCGTTTCATTGAAGGCTTTTAGCCTGGCCTTTGTACATAACTAGTCATGTATATAAATGATACTATATGCAGCCCCAAAACCTCTGCCAGAGGGGAAGCTGAGGCTCAGGTGGAGGAAAGGTCCTTCCTGCTACAATGATAAAGAAATGATCAAGGTTTATGAGATGAATTCATCCAAACTACATGCTTAGGAAGAGAAAAACTCTCTCTCTTGTCACAGGAAAGTAATAAAGCACCTTAGAAAGAGCTATCATTTAAGATAGGTTGGATGATCCAGAAATGTGTACCTGATAGAAGTGCCTTGAATAACCAGTGTAGATTATACACTTAACTTACACGTAGGTGAAGTTATACCAGATGAATCACACTCATAAAAGCGGCAGAAGCAATTAGGGTTTTAGATTGTCTCCTGAGCCCTACTTTAGTGCATCAATCATAAAGACTTCCTTTCTTTTCATTTAAAAAGTTGCATTATCCTCTGAAAAATGAACATTTAAAGTCAGAGTTTTGTTGATGATTTACCAGAAGCACATCATGTCTACATTGTGCTTTTTTGCTCCCATTCATTACCTCGTTGTGAAATGGTTAAGATTACTTTTATCTTGATGCTCTTTTGAGCTGTCAAACACATCAGATTAATCAGCGAACCCTCAAGAAAGTGAAGTCTCTGCAGTTGGCAGGATCCAGTAAGGAAAGCCAGAGGCAACTTCTTCACTTTATGGGTAAACCTTAAAGCTCTAACCTACACATAACCCCCCTTTACAACCTTAAGACCCACCAAAGACAAGCCTTCGCACTCATGAGGCCTCAAAGTACAAAATACTCCTGGTGTGGGTGAGATTTCCATACTCCATGAAGCACTCCTTGTCCCCACTTCCCTATAATCTGCAATGTTAACTTGAATAATTTTATATGTTGCAGATAGAAGCAGCTTTGATTATCCAATCTCTCTCCACAATGCAATAAGAAGCCAATAACGTCTTTGATTAAAAAAAAAAAAGTAATCAAAAACCCCAAGTAAAAACCCGCTTTTGTCAGATAATGTGGACACCAACAGAGAAGAGAGAAAAATTTCAAGTGAATTAATGTCAATGAATTCCCTGTGACCAATACTGCTCTGTGTTTCTGCTCATGTTCATTAGCAGATCATTTAAATGAAGTATATAAACCTCATATCTGAAGGACCTGATTGGTTTTGACTGGGCTGAATTCCATCCATTTCTGTTTCAGAGGATTATTACCCTTTTCTCTTGAGGAAACACATATATTTAAGAAATGAGAGGAATAGGGGTTAGGAAACTGCCTGAAAATTACATTAAAGCTCTTGGGGGCAAATAACTCCTGCAAATGAGAGCTGTACACTTATGGGTCGTCAACACATCTGTTGGAGAAAAGAGAAAAACCTGATTAAACCCTTCCCTCTTGCACAGCCCACAGAGCAAGTTGTGGTATCATAGTCTCACTGCTCAAACACATGCTCCAGGGATGGCCACTATCTGAGGCCAACATCTCTTTTCTTCTTTTATTCATACCAAGTTTCTCTATTCCATCGAACAAACGCAGAGCAGGTGCCTCAGTGATTCTCCCATTTGAAGTTGCAATTAATGACTTGGCATATAATCAATGTAAAATACTAGTTGGGGCATTGAAGCACCTCAGAAATCAGCTTTTTGTTGTTGTGGCTATTTCTTCTGCTTAGCAGTGATCTGTCTCACAGGTCCACTGGGACAATGCTTTTTCCTCTTTGGCTTATTATTTCTTTGAGGAGAAAGAAACTGAACAAATCGTGTGGTTCCCATTATCTTATTGAACATGGGGTGACAGAAATTAAAGGAGCTCCTTTTGTTAGGGCACTTGTAAAGGACAGACCCAGCACCTTACTGTGTGAGGTTTCCTGAGAGACTCCACACTAGTTATCTCCTTCCCTTTGACTGAGACCTGCATGTACAAAATGAAGATGAAGACAGTGATGAGCCCAAATACTATCATAAAGGGGCCATAAAAGGTCAAAGATATTAAAAGAGGTGAAAATTTCTCATAAAATGCTGGATGAAACTAAGAGATGAAGCAATGGTATTCCTTGTCCCCAAAAAAACTTAAAGGGAGATGAAATAAAAGTTTAAAGGTCCTGCAAGGCATGAGTAGAGGCTTAGGCCAGATGAAAGCTTTTACCTCATGTGCTCCCAGAATGCATTGAAATCCATCTAAAGACAAGCACTATGCTTCTCCTGCCCTTTGCTCTTTTCTAGTTTCTTTCAATGAAAAAATTGTAATGTATATTGAACCAAAGAGAAAAAAGAAAAATCACATGCTTTGAGGTAACAGTAGATGACTGCACTACTTTGGGGGTACCTGTATAACTCTCTCATGTCAGCTCTTGGGCTCCACAACTGCTCCAAGAAATGGCAAAGGAAGTGTAATTCACTCTCTGAATAGCATTATTCTACATTTATGGCTTTTTAGTTGTCCAGATGACAAAAGTAGATTGGATACCTATAGAACTTACAAATTGTTTTTTAGCAGGTTCCTCTGCCACCAAATAAACTAAAAGAAAACACTTCACAACTCCTTCCATCCTCCACGCCAGAACATTGCTGCTCTGAACTGAATCACGTCATAGTGCTGCTTAGTAAACAGCAGGCATCTGTCTCAAGGTACTTAGCTTGAAATACAGAGCTGTAGTGCCACGACAAATTGTCCTCTTTGTGCTACTGGTGCACTGGAATTTGGTGCAACAGCGAGCAAAATCAATACACACAAAAAAGGTGCAAATGACTTGGGCTTCTGGTGTCCCACGATGGCACACCCTGTATCCACAACACTTGGTGCATTATTTTTCTCTTTATACTGGGAATTTTATCCTTGCCTCCTCAAAACCTATACATGTCAGAGACTCGCTATGTTTCTGGGGCTGTATTAAGTGAGTTAGTCCTGAAACTAAGGAGAGAGGTTCAACAGACTGGAGCTCCACTCTGATGAATGCTGGCTGAATATGCAATAGCTGGTGAAGAACAGAGGGACATTTTAGCAGCTGCACCGATCATTCCTTCACAATGTTAAGCCCTGGATAAACATCACAACATGACAGATAAGAGTTTGTCTACTCAAAGGAACTTTTTCCTCTCTAACATCAGTCATTGGAATAAGCCAAGAACTTTCTCAAAGAGGCTGCTGCTCAGAGACTACTGGCAGGAGCTACGGGGTTGAAATCTTTCGCTGTTGTTGCAAGAGTTCAGACAAGATGTTTACCATGCTCCCCACTGACCTTAAAACTCTATTAATACATGAAAATAATATCAGTGTTGGATAAAGAGGTCAGTTTAGACTTGTAAGAGTAAAGAGTTGCCCAGTAACCTGTAGAAAAATGTGCTCACTTTCCTGCAGCTTCCCTGCTTGCTGGTTACCTGTTGCCTTCTCCATCCAGGCCACATACAGACACTTTACAGAACACTTCCCCATCTCCACCCATGGAAGGAGAGAAGGTAAAAAATGCTTATTTTATTAATAAAGACATTGCTGTTCCTTCTTAATTTCCTCTATTGCAACATTTCTGTGTCAGTCTCACAACCTTACTTCTCTTTCTTCCAAACTCAATTCCAAGTTAATAAACATCCAGAAAACTTCAAATAATACAAATAATAGTATTAAAAAGCTGTGAAATGCAGAAGGGGATGGGTGCAGCCTTTCCTCAACACCCCCCCAAATCAGTCTCAACCCCAGCCACTTGATCTTACTGTACTTCCTCCATTTAACTGATGAAATTTTTGCTGTCAACTTCATTATGAATAAAGACTTGGCCTTTGATTAATATATTCTTTAAAAGAGCTCTCTTTGATACAAGGGACACATTTTCTTTTGCAGTTGTTGCTCTACACAGTATAGATATTTTTGTTTAGAGATGTTGCATTCATAGAGATTTTCAAGGCTGGAAGGAGCTGGCATTTTCAACTGCTCTCCTCAACACATTTATTTCTGCCTTTAAAAGGTTATAGAACCTTTTAGGTCAGAGACGTTTTAACAGAAAGCTAAACTAGCAATGAGCAATTTCCATTTTTAATTTAAATAACATTTCAACACCATTCCTAAAAATCATGCCAACATAGAAAAACAACCAGTATTAGCACAGAAACTTCTGGCCATTCTTTTGGCTAGCTTATGTCCATAGAGTCATGATGATTTACATCACCTGGACTTACATCAGCTGGAAAACCAGACTCAGGATAACAGCCTCTAGGAAAGGCAATGAGGTGTAAATATTTCTTTGGCTCTGCCCTGCACATTGTGGATGGGATTAATTTCCCCACCTTTGGCAGCCTCATTGTTAGTTTAAGCCAATCTAGTCAAGACTGTTCTTTTAGGCTGTCTCTGAGGTTAAGAGACCTTCAACTCAGACACTCTAGATTGCTATCTCAGGATTGGCTGAACTGCCCTCTGGAAATGCCCTTTTTTCCACTGACTCAGATGGTGAGCTCAAAGTGGATGTAGAGCACTCAGAGAGGAAATGTGTTATGGGATGGATCCTGCCATTCCTGTCAGCCACACGTCGTGTTAACAACCTGGTGATCTGAAAG